TTACTCGTACATGCAAACCTATAACCATTCCCACATTTGATGAGCGCTCACCAAATACGTGGTAAATAAAATTGCGATGCCGTGTTTAAACAATTTTGAGTCATAAACTCATAATGTGAAAGGATTAATAATATTTGAAGTCAAAGTCAACAAATAATGTGCTACCTTCCGTTTAATATTATTTGCAAACGATTTGACATAAAATAAAGAGGAAAAATGTTTAATCGTTGCAAATAATATGAAATGGAGGTGATATTAAAGTGATAACGACTTAACCATATTCAGATTAATCAACCATTTCCCAAAAAAACAAGCATTGGAGGCTACAAGTCTACAACTCCACTTTCAAACTGTTGAAGTCAAAGCAGAGTCAATGGTTCCTGAATTTGATAAAATCACTTCATCAGCTCCCACTAAGAAAATTAAAAGTTCCCCTTCAAAAAAAAAAAAAAAAAAAAAAAAAAGAAAGAAAAAGAAAATTAAAAGTTGGAAAAAGGTAGGAATGTGCTAGAAAAGGAAAGGCACTTTGGCCATCGGTTTGTTGCATGTCCTTGTCAAATTCTAACAATAGCAAAATTTTACACAGTAAGAACTTGTGGTGTTTAAAGTAGATACGGAGTATATTGAAGTATTAGTGGATTTTCTACTAGTCTAGTTAGTTAAAATTTTAAGGCCGATATTCAAAATGCGAGAACGAATTTCGTGTACATGTGAAATCATCAATCCTAACAAAGTAAAGTAGATTTAAAACTCACTTACAAAGAAATATTGTACCCTACAATAAAATAGGTCATTTATATTTTATTGAAAATTTTAATCCTATCGGACTTACCATAACCTTACCCATCCGGCCATCCCTCCTATCGCCAACCATCGTTACATGTTACATGTATCGTCCTATCATTTATTATCACATGCCAAATGGACTACTTGTATATAGGAGTTACGTACTTACGTCCCACAAGAATAATTGTCCTAGTTACTAACTAGTTAGTCAACACACAACACAAGGGTGGTATAAATATAGAACCCACGTGAATCCACAAAGAAATCACCCATTCATAACCACTAGTTTCAATTCCTTTTCAAAACAAGGTAAGATTGTGTAATAACTCTAATTTACACCAAGTTTTGAGAGAGAAAAAGATGGAAGCACCCACAAATCAACAAGTTGAACTTTCAACCAAGGATTATCTAAGCACTGATGATCCTGAAGAGAAAGTTGTCGATCAATGGTAATTTCATTATTTACTTATTTATTTTTTAAAAATTTTGTTAATAAAATTTAAAGATTTGATTTTTATGATTTTAACTTTGTTTTTGTTTTTATATTGTGGGGAATATACAGTTGTTCTTGCTTCTACGATTGTTTTCAAGGCCTGCTGGACTTCCTGTGCTGCGATTCTGATTTTTGTTGTTAATTTTTCATAGTTCAATGTAAGAATTTTTTTTTATTATAAATAAATTATTATTGTTATTAGTCGAAAAAATGGAGATTATTGAGTATTAACTTGTGTAATTGACCCATTGTTGAAACAATTTTTAATAATCTACTATGGAGTATTAGTAGTCTAGTTTTCATAATTTCTCGAATTAATTTAGAATTATCAAGTGATTAAATTATAATTTACTCGTCTAATGTTTGTTGAGTCCTTGGAAAAAATTTATTGATTGGTTATGGTGTATTTATTATTTATGAATTTTTGGACAAAGAAATTAATGTATTTTAATTCGGAGTATATTAAAGAATTTGGTTTGGAAAGTAGAGGATGAAAATCATAAAGTTACATTATTATTTTACGTCAAAGGGTTAGGTCAACGAAACAAAATCTCGTAATTTAAGGGTGTGATTGGACTGATAATGACTTGATATGGTACTCCGTATTTTTTTTTTTTTTGGAAAACACTTGATATGGTATTTAACAAACTAGGAGATACTTGGTGTGACAATTTGATTGCTTACCTTAATAAAATACTCGTAACTTGTATTTGGGCTTGAGGTTTCAAAATCACAAGCACCCCCGAGTCCAAAAATATACGATTCAGATTTCAACTTACGTGAACGCAGTAATTTAGTACTATGATTGAACTTTAAAACTTAATTCGATTTGATCTGACCTCATCATACCCGATCAGAACACCCGAATTGATAATTTGATATCTCTATTCTCTAATTTGGGTTTTGGGCTCAGGTAATGCGTCGGGTCATTTCATGGGGTTGACATTAAAATCTTACGTTTTAATTTATGACTTGTTTTTTTAATTAAATTTATTATACGTAACTTTCTCAAAAATAAAATTTGTTATTCATATTGGCATTCGCTACATATTAATATTTTAAATTAAAAATATATCATACAGGAGTGGTTAAAAATTAGGTTTAACAATTAAAGGTTGCATGTTTTGACTATCATGTACTTGTATAACTTTTTTGTACGTATTATAAATTGATGAAATCTGACATGTAATGAAAACGTATGGATGAGAGTGCCATATGAGTATATGACACATATATTTTGTTTGAAATGCCTTTTAATACACTTATTGTAGTATTGATAATACGTTTGATATCATTGTTATCTCCATACACCTAAGCTAATCAACTTTTCCTCAAAAAAATAAAATAAAATGCAGGGACAGAGAATAGTGGGAGGATGTATGAGACATGTAATTGATGAGTACGTATAAGACTTTAAGCTTTCAATATACATCTAATCATTCCTTTGTTCTCTCTCTTTTTGACATGAATTTTAGAGTGGCAATTCCTTGTATAAAGTCTTTTCGAATTGACATAACCTTATGAACGAAAGGCTAAAATCATGTTCTCTTCAGCTTAAATTTAGTTTAGTTTACTTCAGTATATTTTAGTTAAGTTACTAACTTCCTTCTCTCATAGACAGCTTATTAGTTCAATTCAGCTCCAATTAATTTAGCTCTAATAAGTTCAGTTAAGAAAATCAGAACAGGCCCTAAATAATCTCGATATCGCTAAAGGTTGGACCAAGCCTATAACTTATCATAAATTTCACTTATTAAGTTATTTAAGTATTTGAAATGTGTCCTGGTGTGATTTTGTGAAGCTTTCACTATTTCTTTATTTAAGAAATTAGATGTAAGGAGTATGTATTGTCTTCGTTTTTGAAAATTTTAAGCATTCTACCTTTTCATGTTTGATAATATAAAAATTGGATAATCGTGTTTGTAAAAAGTTAACATTCCAAAAATACAAGATATTACTTATTTAAAAACATATTTGCTTTACGTATAAATTACAAATACTAGTCAAGTAAGTCAACGTTTAAAGTAAAGATTATGACCACTAGTAAAACAAAACATGTACTACGTAAATGCATTGTGAAACAGAGGTATTGTATGCGAAGTACTTATTGAAATACTTGTCAATGAATGCCACGTTTGTCTTTGTGAGCCTTACTGAAAGGTTAAGCCATTAGCTCATTAGTGAAAGTGGTCTTATTAGGATAATAGGATCAAATGCTATCTTTTATCACAATGCAAAAAGTATTTGCTGTTAATTTGATATCATCAATTGAAGACAATTAATGGGCATTGGCCAATGAAGATGCTCCAAAAAATCTATAAAATTCACAGGCTAGGTCCAATGTGTAGTCAATTTGATCTGACTACATCAACAAAATCAACATGCACACATTTCATTTATAATTTTGTTATGAGTACCTCAAAAAGTCATAAAGGTATAGTGACTATAGTGATACCATCAGTGGCGGATCCAGGATTTCCGAGATAGTGTGTCACCATCAATTATTGATCATTTGTGAAAGTACAATTTTTTTTTCCATGTCTTGTTCATAATTAATTTCAATCCAAAACTTATATATATACATACATATATATGTATATATACATATACCAAATTGATTTCAATCCAAAAATAGGACACAAAAATTCATATCACAACCAAATACAGTACTTAAGAATTCAATTTTACAAGTCGAAAATACTACAAATAACATGTTATAAACCAATGGTACAATAAAATTATTATATTGAATTAAAATTAACTTTATGATTTTTTAGTTAATTGATAAGCTTTATGGGGAAATATTAAAATTGGTTGTACATAAGATATAAAAAGGGGAAAAAAATTATACAAAAAAAAGTGAGATAACTTAAAAGACCAGTTATTAAATATAACTGGTCTCTTTAATGAAAAAGAAAGTAACGCAAAAAAATTGTGAAATGCAGCAGCATCAAAGAGACCTCTTATATAAATAACAGGTCTCTTTAATATAAAAAAAACACACAAAGTCTTTTGTAGCAATAGCAGCATCAAAGAGATCTTCTATCTTAATAAGTGGTCTCTTTGATATTGTTTGTTGTTACCACTAGCAGCATCAACGAGACCCCCTATCTATAATAAGGGGTCTCTTTGATATTTTATTTTTTAAAAAAAATACTGTGTCACCGGACCCACTATGACTAAAGGTGGGTCCGCCCCTGGATACCATATAAGTAGGACTATTAACTTATTAAACCGTGACAAAACCTGATTATGATACGGTGTAACATATGCAGATTACTAATTTAAGCAATATCTTCTTGATGTAATACTCTGTATTTTCTTAGGGCCTACAAAAACTCTTTAAATCAATGAAATCTTGATACAAGTACAGTACCCTTCTTGTATAGCTTCTCACTATAACCACTACTCCATATTACTACGTATTTCCTGCATAAAACTTGCATGATTTCAGCTAATTATGTTGTGTTATTAGAGTACAAGGGTACAATCGAAGTGTCAGCAATTCAGTCCTAAATTACCGAACCCAAAAAATAAAAAAGAAAAGGACACCCTTTACAAAAGAGAAAAGAAAAAGGAAAAGTTATTGAGTTTTTTTTTTTTTTTTTTTTTTTTTTTTAAAAAGAAAGAGTAAATGATCCGACTGTATCTCTTCTATCCTCGAAATTCAGTGGAAGTTACAGGGTCCCGCACCATGAAATCGACGGTAGAGAGAGCACGGTAGTTTTAGTGGGGACCACACGATCTGAAGTAAACAGAATTCTTTTTATAATTTTCTGATTTGAAAAGATCATCATTTAACAATGAGTCAATGAAGACAACAAAAAAAGCCCTTCCAATTTATATCCAAAATTAATAAGAGCAGTGCAGCTTTAAATACGAGTATTTTTGTTTTTTTGTTTTTTTTTTTTTTTTTAAATAAATAAGATTTTCATAGTTTATTTAACCTTAAAAAATCTCAGTTTCTAGGGTTTTAGGAAGCAAAAATTATTTGCAGAGAAAAAAAAAATCAAGAATGGAGGGAAGACCAAAATGTTTCTTGGATATTAGTATTGGAGGAGAACTTGAAGGAAGGATTGTTGTGGAGTTGTACAATAATGTAGTTCCTAAAACTGCTGAAAATTTTAGGGCTCTTTGTACTGGTGAATTGGGTATTTCCCCTATTTCTGGCCGTCCTCTTCACTTCAAGGTTTAATTTTTATGATTTTAAATTTTTTTTTTCTGGTGGAATGTATGATGTGGGTTTATGTGTTTTGTGCAAAGATTGCATTTGTTTGTCTTTAAAGTCTCAATTTCATTTGATATTTTGTTTTGTTTTGTGGATTATATTTGTTGTTTGATTGGATTTTCAGTATGGGTTTTGGTTTTTATGTGTGTAATGTAAAGATTGAATCTTGGTTTTGAGTTTGTTTATGTGTCAATTACATTTGATTTGTTGAATGTTATGTTTTGGATTTTGGGTTTCTGATAGTTTAATTTGTTGCGTTTTTGTTCTGGGGTATTGAATTTAATTTAAAGATTGCATCTTGGTTGCATAAACTGTCTGATCACTTCATTAACATACATATTGTATCTCATATTAATTTTAATAGCTTAGCAGTCTCTTGAATTGAAGGGTGCAATCCCTTATTATTCAATTTTGATTTTCGGCTTACAGGTTCATTGGAAGAATTGAAATTGAATGTTTATGAGTTGAGCTTATTGTTGAAACTTTTTATTATTGAGGATAAGAAGTAATTGTTGAATTCAACATTCACAACAGTACCAATGTCTACATTTTAATGAATTTTAGTACTCTGTATCTACTAGTAAAGTAGCAATTGTGTTTGATTAACCTGATTTTGTTATTGTAATGAGCTTTGACTAAACCTGAATGCTGTTTGCTAACTTATCAATTTGCTAGTAACTTCACTTCTTTGGAATTGAATAAAATATAAGGCAGAGCTTTTGCATTACCATCACAAGATTTTGCAATGCGAAATGTGGCTGTTTTAAGCAATAGTTGTTGTGGAACTGAAAGTGAAGATGAAAGTTATCAGTGTAGTAGCATCAGAAATATATGTGTCCCCTTGAAGGCGTGCGGGCCATGTGGGTGTTTTATGAGTTATGTTTTTTTTTTTAAAACAATACTAGTATATCCTTATTCTAATGGTTCAAATTTGAAAAACTGGCAGGGTATACCTTTCCATCGTATTGTGAAAGGAGCACTTATTCAAGGTGGAGACATATCTGGGGGCGAGAGTGGTGGAGAGTCCATCTATGGTTCAACGTTTGAAGATGAAAATTTTGAGCTGAGGCATGAAAGGAAAGGAATGCTGTCCATGGTTAACGTTGGGCCTAATACAAATGGATCTCAATTCTTTATTACTACTACTCAAACTCATCAGTATAACGGTAAGCATGTTGTGTTTGGAAGAGTGATCAAAGGTTTGGGTGTTATACGTTCAATCGAGCATGTTGATGTTGATCCTGATAATGGGCCGTTGCTTGATATTGTCATCGAGGATTGTGGAGAGATTCCCGAGGGGGAAGATTATGGCATTATCAACTTTTTCAAAGATGGGGACACTTACCCTGACTGGCCATCTGACCTTGATTCCAAATCAGATGATTTCACTTGGTGGGTTACTGCAGCAGATTGCATCAAGGTTTTTGGCAATGAGAGGTTTAAGGTATTTGACAAAAATATATTACTGGGACCAAAATTGGTCCTGTAATTATTTGCACATTGATAGGCAAATAATAATTTTGTCCAAGAAATGGGATCATTAAACTTGAAATACACTGAAATTCTTGCTGAGTTATGCAGAGGGTGTATCAAATTGCAATTTGCATATCATTGATAGGTATCCTAAAGAATAATCAAATGTTTTTGCACATGCAGAAGCAAGACTATAAGATGGCTATTCGAAAATATCTAAAAGCTATGCGGTATTTGGATATGTGCTGGGACATGGAATCGTTAGATGGAGGTGATCTTTTTGTTTGTCAACATCATTATGTCAATACTCTATTCTTCTAGAGTTCTTTGACCTGTGCTGATCTAATGTTTTTTTTTTTTTTTTTTTTTTTTTTCTGTACACAGAAAAGAGTTTATCTTTGAGGAAAATGAGATCTCAGTTATACACTAATACTGCGGTAAGATTCTTAATCAGTTTTCCTAATTGATGTGGGTGCAATTCGGCTGAACGCTATGGGGCTTTGAAGAATAAGTATTACTAATACCTTTCTGAAATGCTTCGTTTTCGGTTTCTTAAACACTACATCGGTGCTAAATATTTATAGGTTCATCAATTAGTTGATTATGAGATGGTTTTCAAGCTTTAACATGTTCCTGTCTGTTACTCTTGCTTAGGCCTGTAAGTTGAAGATGGAAGATATAGAAGGAGCCTTGTGGGATACTGACTTTGCACTTCGCGACGAAGAAGAAAATGTGAAGGCTCACTTCCGAAGGGGTCAGGTCAGTGATTTTTATTTCTTTTTTGTTTGGTTACCAGCATATACCCTTCTTGTCCACATGAACCACAAGCATCATTCCGAATCATGCACATGAAATATTACAATTTAATACCATTTCGAATGCAGGCATTTATTGCTCTTGGTGACATAGATTCAGCAGCTGAATGCTACGAGAAGGCTTTGGAACTTGAACCGAATGATGGTTAGTTTCGTCATTCATGTATCATTCAGTAATTCCAATATATCATCTATTAATTTTATATTTTGGATGCTTGAAATGGTAAACGCCTCTTAACTTTAAATTGTTTGTAGGTGGCATAAAGAGAGAACTTACTGCCACGAAAAAGAAGGTAATCTAAACTTTCCAAAACATGCATTCTGTTAGGTCAGACCAAGAGTAGTGTAAAACGGCCTATACTGTTAGCTCGAGCTAACCTTTTGATCTGTATGTGCTTTCAGATTGCTGATCGACACAGTAAAGAGAAGAAAACCTACACTAGAATGTTCATGTGAAATTCAGGGATGCTGAGTGGTATGTGAGAAGTTTAAGTAGCCCACCTTGCTTTCTTTTGCTCCAGGACTAGTAGAATGGTAAATCCGAGCCCTGATGTATAATATATGGAGTACTATATTGTCTATATATCATGTTCTTGCCTGCAAGATTTTGATGATGGTCTTGGAAAACTAAATTGCTTAATTCAAATCCTTAAAGTGATCAATCTGTCATCCAACTGATATCGTTTGTGTTACATTTCAGGTTTTCATGAAGGGAAGATTTTTCACTTGATTGGATGAGCATAGATGATGGGCTTGATATCTTAAATTTTGTATAGGTGGTAAAATAGGAAAAATTTGCAAAGTTTAGAATATATGTACCAACTTTTGATGTACATTTTAGCAACCTAAACCATCTGAAATGGAACTATCTTCCCTTTATAGTTATGATTTGCTCAATTCATTTACATGTTTTATTCTCCTTACATTCCTGTTTTATCCTTAACTTTTTTTTTTAATTATCACATTGTCTGCAACATTATTCTAATTATTTCTGTAATTCATGATAGTATGTACTCCATACTTGATTTTCAATTGATTAATCTGCCAGAGTATAAAAGTCACAGTTGTTGTAAATGTTGCACTTAAGCATGCGGCATGCCTCTTTCATTTCGTATACTCTGTACCAAACGCTATTTGGAGTACTTTGTATCAACAGGTTAAGGGACTGGTTAGATACGACATGAAAATTGTTTAATTTGCGCCAAGCCCATCACAAAGTCACAAGTCTTCGGTGACTCTGAGCACATATGGTCATAAGGAGTAATAAGGTAGTCAGTGACATAGTACAACACACAGACCAGAATACATGAGCCTATTCACAAGCTCAGCACATGCATTTGAGTTTTGCTTGAACGACCGTGCCCGATTCTTTTTTTTTTTGGTGTTTAGAGTGATGAGAATCGACATTAAAATCACCTGGAATCGGAAGGGGAGCTCTAACCACTAGAGTTATCCGTGCCCAACTCTAATACAGTATATGTGGAAGTTTATGGAAACGAAAATGATGGTTTAGTATGTGGTTGCTTAGTTTAACTCCCTCAGTCCCTCTCCCTCCTGTTGAATATTCCTGTTTTCCCTCTATCAAATTCTTAACCACAAAATCAAATACGAATATTTCTCAATTATTTTTTAAGCAAAACCCCTTTCAATCTATATTCTTCAGCAGCATTGACGTTAACAACAATAATCTCCGCAAAATCACAAGCTGCAGTCGTATCACAATGTCCGAATCTCATTCCAGGTTTCTCACTTTTTTGCTTTACGTTTTTCTGATTGTTGTTGATTTGTTTGAGTTTGTTAATTCGATTGCAAAATTTGAATGACTTCTTCTTAATTTATTCGTCGGATACTCCGAAATTTTTGATGGATTGTTGTTTGTGATAATCAATTAGGGTTTCAGTTTCAGTGGAAAGTGATGGAATTGGGTCAATTGATCCTAGTTGTACGGAGATCATCGTGGTTCGTCATGGCGAAACTGATTGGAATGCTATTGGCAAAATGCAGGTTGATTTTTATCTATTTCTTCATTATTTTTCTTTTCTGTGTTTGGATAGAAAACGTTGAAGCAATAGTAGGCTTGTGTTTTTACTTTACCATCTTTTGAGGAAGTTGCAAGGTTATTTATTGAAAAAGGAATTGATTGATTACTCTTGCTCGCCTTTGTATCCCGTCAATTCTTTTTATCCAGCTACATTGCTGTAATTTTCATTATATATGCTGATGTTATTCTCTGCAATAACAAATGAATACATTAATTTCAAATTAGATTATGTATATGGGTTGAGCTAGACAGCTAGTGATCGTGTAAATGGACTAGAAATTGGATAAATTCGTTAAAGAACAGGTTATGGTAGTAGAATTTTAGGAAAGCGTTGTTGGAATAGGACTAACATTCTATGCAAATCAGAGATAAGAAACACTATTGTATATAACTCGTATTTGATTCAAGTGTCATGCCAACAGAATTTAGTGAGATAAAGAAAAAAGGTACCTGTCTTATGGTGTGATGCAGACTTGTTCACTTTTACCCAACGAGACTTAGATAGTTAGATTCAAGCAGTACTTTTGTACTACGAACTATTTGCTAAGTTTATGCGGTACATGACTGTTTCTATGTCTATTTTCTCTTTCATTCCTCTTTCATCAGGGTCAGTTGGATGTTGAATTGAATGAGATTGGGAGGCAGCAAGCGGTTGCAGTAAGTTGAGGATGATATTGTCTGGTTGTGTACCTTGCTTTGCCAAAGTGCCTCGCCTAATCCTGATTTCTGTTAGGTTGCTGAGAGACTATCAAGGGAGCCTAATATATCTGCTATATATTCGTCTGATCTGAAGAGGGCTCTTGAGACTGCAGAGGCAATAGCATCAAGATGTGGTGGTGGACTTGAGGTCAGTTACTTTGCTAAAGATACTTCAAACTACTATTAATGTAGAATATTTACGGTGCACTGGGCATGGTTTTTATCAGTGCAAATTCAAAGATGTAGGATTTCTTTATTATTAACTGCTACCAAGTTTAATTCACAACTGATTATAAGTTCAGATAAGGTTTTCAGCTGAAGAGGAGGAAACGCATTGTAGAAGTGTTTGCTTTTATATATTTTGATACAGTGATCCTGGCTATATTTAAGAAAACTTTTGTAATTATTAGATGTGTGAATTTTTTTGGTAAGTATTGGAAGAAAATAACCATGCAAATTTCTTAAGAATCTACGGTTAATCTACTTTAAACCTTCTTAGTTCTATCTTACATGTAGATGTTGAGGCTCTTTGGAAAAGTTTTTCTTAGAAAGGCTGTATACATACAGATCTTTATGGACTCTAAACTTTAGTGAACCTTCTCTGAGCTTCACTACTTGTATATATTTAGGTGTCTGTCATTCTGTAGATTCATCTTTGAACATGAAGGGTATAATGTAATTTAATGCTTCATCTTTTTATTTAATTTTGGCGATGTATGAATTACAGGTTATTAGAGACAAAGACCTGCGGGAAAGGCATTTAGGAGATCTGCAAGGACATGTTTATCAAGACTTAGCGAAGCTTAGCACTAAAGCTTATGAAGCATTTAAGTCTCATAGATCTGATCAAGAAATTCCGGTGAGTACGGACTCTATGCTTGTTAGATGTTTTAGTGCACTCTATTATGACTACCATGATCAATTGCTTTGTGTTGCATGCAATACCTCATTTGCTTCTACTTTTTGACGCTTTGGAGGTCCACTCGATATAGAACACCATATTTAGAATGCAAAAGTGCTCAATCTCCTTTTTGCATTTTAGAAGCTTAGTACCCTAACACAAGGAATATAAATTGAATCTTATAGTTAAGTATGTTGCACGATGTTGTCAATTTTGAGATCAGGGCTTAGTTGAGTGGGATACTTGATATTAGATTGTGTCATTGGATTGCAGAATGTTGGTTAAAGAAAACACATCTTCATCTCTATTATGTCCTTGTAGTTGAGAAAACACATCTTCATCTCTATTATGTCCTTGTAGTTGAGAAAACACATTCACTTCTTGTACAACTATGTCATTTGATTCATACTGACAAATCACTCACTGGCAAGTGAATTCCGAATTTCACCCATCATATAACCAGATTTGGATGGCATTCATCCAGATCAGGAATGAGAGTGAATAAGTTGAATAAGGCCCCTTCCCTCATTCTAATTGCCTTGTCACTCAGTTGGCAAATGAAATGCTACTGATTTAAATATAGTAGGATTGTACTAGTATGGCCTCTCTTGCTTCTTTCACCATTTTCATGTGATTGATATTGATACGAATGTACGTGGCCCCACAATCTGGACTGGCATTTGATGGAATCTCGTAAGAGTCTATACTGTTGCATAGCAACAGACATATTAGTACAAAATGCTGCTTGTGAAATTGCTTGCCTCATATATCTCATAATTTTCAAAGTTTTACAGCGGCATGCTTCATGGAGTGTCAGCCAAAACTTTGAATTTATAGCTCTATTGAAATACGAACTAAAGATTATATGATTGTTCAACATCACTGAGTGCAGGGTGGTGGTGAAAGTCGTGATCAGCTTTATAATCGTTGTACGTCTTTGGTTCAGAAAATTGGTGAAAACCATAGAGGTCATCTACTCTTGCCTCTTTCCATTATTTATACATTCATTGGCTACATATTACATAAATTAGTTTGCAGGAAGCTGTTTTCAGTTGCATCTTCTGAAATTCAGACAATTGATGTTGCATTTGCTCTGGTTGCATGTCATTGCAGGGCAACGAGTAATTGTAGTCAGTCATGGGGGTGCCATAAGATCACTGTTTAACCGGGCTGCAGCCAAAGGACAACATCCAGGGAAAATATCTAATACATCAGTTGGCATAATTCAGCTGTATGATGGGGATTTGTGGTCCATCAAATCATGGAATGATGCCAGTCACCTCAAGCAAACAGAATTTCTCGAATCAGCTTTTGGTGGGGATGCTTCTTCAGGCTAGCCAATATTTGTGCTCTGATTTAGACATGATGTAGTGCAAGATTTGCGTATTAATTTTCACATCATTTGCTTACGACATGTAGTTTTTTACCCTGGCCATTTGTGTAACCAAGTATTCTAACCGGGAAATTTGAATTAGGCCTGCTAAAGAGACAATGCAGCTATATTGTATGTGCTCTGAGTTGGAGACCGTGAACTGTATATTGCTGTAAAAACCCTCTTTGATAGCTGATTGTTAATTTTACAGTATCTTAGTGACTCTGTATACCCTGTTAAATACGGAGTACTTTTATTATAAACTGTTCTTATATACTTGTATACATAAATAAATAAATAAAAAATGTATTTCTGATGTTGAAATTATATGGAATTTTCGAAGAAGGTCCATATTGAGTGGAATTCACGAGAGAAATCAACATCAGAGAGACAGGACAAAGCAAAACAGAATAAAAGAGAAATATGTTCGTCCACATTCATAGTTTTATACTAGTAAGTACTCCGTACTACGTATTATAATAAAGCAAGCACTTTAGCTTAAGTTGACTGCTCAAGAAGACTACGTACATCAATGAGTCAACGGGAAGATGGCATATATGGACCAATAATACAGTAGGAAGCTTCAGCTGTTTAACAAAGCTTCTTAATTTCTTTGCTTTCTTCTGAAACGCATCTCAGTCCAGGTTTCTCTCTCTCTCTCTACCTCTGAAAACGTCATCTTTCTTCTGTTTTTTAATTTTATTTTGTTGTTATTCCATTTAGGTGTACAGTTTGTAAAGATTGTCAATGGAAAGCGTTAAGAATGGTGATATAGCTGGAGAAGCAGGGCTAGTTGATGGATCCTGTACAGAGATTATCATTGTTCGTCATGGTGAAACAGAATGGAATGCTCTTAGCAAAATGCAGGTTAGACTGATAGTTCTATTCATGGGGCGAGTTGATACAATATTTTAACTTTGTGATGACTGACAAGCGAGAGGAACTGCAAAACACATTATACACTGAATAAAAGAGTTTTAGTGAGTGATACAATAGTTTAATTAGATGAAAATAATGCCCTATTTTTTCCCTTTAAAACAAGTATTGGGTTTACTAAAGAGAAAACAAGTTCCTTTCATAACAAAAATAAAATGTATGGATATAGACTAATAAGCTCATATAGCTCATATCAGATGAGTTCAAGAGTTATTAGGCAAAAACATAGCCTAAGAAGAAGACAATGAACTAATACGAAGTATAAGTCATTTGTCTTAGATATATAGACTTGATTTACCTTGATAATTTCCTTTTCCAGTTTTCATTGGTATTCTCTGTTTCAAAATTCAAGCTATTCTACATATTCACATAGGTCTATGATTGTTGCCTATCTTGATTTTCTAGCAAGCTCGTAAAGTACATTAGTATCCTATTCTTTTCAATAATATAAGTAGAATTTGGCTGATAAATGCTCACTAGAAATTTCTAGCATTGCACAAACTTTGCACCTTTAAACAGAAGATGCCTAGACGGTACTCTCATTATACTGCTGAATTTTTGCTTCATGCATATGCAACTGATTTCTGTTTATTACTCGAAATTCTACTTCTTTTGCTAATGCTCCAGGGACAGACGGACATTGATCTAAACGAGGTTGGGAGACAACAAGCCATCATAGTAAGTTATGACATTCTGCACTGATTTAGGTTATCTTGTGAGGTTCTTAAATATATCCTGCTTTTTTGTCGTAGGTTGCTGAGAAACTATCAAGGGAGCCTAATATATCTGCTATATATTCATCTGATTTGAAAAGGGCTTTTGACACAGCAGAAACAATAGCATCTAGATGTGGGCTTCAGGTTTGTTAGTCAAATTAATGCAACTATACCCCTCTTTTGGGATAACCAGGGGAGCTAATAATAGGGCTTGAATTTGATGAGATGCAATATACCTATACCCCTCTTTCTCTTTGTACTATTCAACTCATAAATTAAGAATGTTTCAGCATAAGATAGTTAATACATACAATACGATTTTGTGGTTATTAAATAACAAAAATGACACTTTTGTTGAGAATGATCGAATACTACTTTAACCAAGAGTTTATAAAATAAAATTAAAAAAAAAAAGCACAAAACAAAACAAAATATTGTAGATTTGTAGTGACCAATCTAGTGGAATGTATATTAAAACCTTTTAACGATTTTAAAAAAGTTTAAAACATGCAGATTGATTTGTTCAACCAGAGTATACTGATCTGATACTTATATATGGATATTAGCTGCTCATCAATTTTATGTGGGTCTCAAATCAGGTTGTTATAGATAAAGACCTGCGAGAAAGACATATCGGGGATCTTCAAGGACTTGCATATAGCGAAGCATCCAAGGTTAACCCTATCGCCTTTGCAGCACTGAAGTCCTCCAGAAAAGATCAAGAAATTCCGGTGTGTAGTTTATGGTTCCCAACTCTTTCTAAGAAACTCTGAAAGACTATTTTTCTGACTTGATTTTTCTGACTATACACTACAGAATATAATTACAGTATTCAATAGAGTCAAAAGATCATTTGACATTCTAACTAAAGATTTTCTAAAATTTGGAGCTCGGAGTTATGTTAACTTCAGAATGTACTTCATCATTTGCAGGGTGGTGGCGAAAGTAAAGATCAAGTGTTCAGAAGATGCACATCCTCATTGCAAAGAATTGCTGAAAAACATCGAGGTAATATTTTGGAAGCTGTTTGTAGTTAGTTAGTTACTTACTTCGTATGTATCTAGGGCAGCCACTAGCCATGGGAGGTAAAATCAAAACCGGTGAAGTAACTTCTTTTTTTTCTGGCTACATTTCAGGAGAACGAGTAGTGGTAGTAACTCATGGGGGTATCACTGGAAAGCTCTATAAGCGAGCTATACCTGGAGAACGTCCTGGAGGGGTATGGAATACATCAATAAGTATATTTCAGTTGTCTGAAGGAGACAATTGGTCAATCAAATTATGGAATGACAAAAGTCATCTCAAAGAAACAGAATATCTGGAATCAGCTTCGGGTGGAGGTGATGCTTCAGGCTAGCTAGCTAGCTTATGCTTTAATTCCTGGTACTCAATCAATCTATTTACTCTTGATGAGACTTGCTGTATCCAGGAGGATTGTTGTACTTCTTTATTGTTGTTATGCTAATTGTAAACTGTAATAGTTGCAATGAGTGGACTTTAAGACTCAAATGAAATTTTAATAAAGAGATCCAAATGCTGGAAATTTATCTACTTAAATTACGACTTTACGAGTACTCTTGCATGTCAATTATTGGAACAGTCACAACAACGTTCATTAATTCATAGGTTCATAGTATCCCAGAAAACTGTACTGATGCTGCTCAGCTGTATTTCTTCTGGCGATATGCGGTTGCAATTTGATTATCACATAGATGTGGATAAAAATATTTCTAGGATTTGCTTACTCATGGTTTGTGATTTAGATTATACCGCGATTATAAGTTCTTTGATTGGAAAATCTGCACCAAAGCCTGGTAAAAGGCAAGGGTGGTATATACTATATAGTATGTATTGTATTATGTCCTTTTTAGTTCGACAAAAGTAGTAAGCGGCATCTATAAATATATGTAAGGACCCTTTCAGAACCAAAGAAATATTACAAACTGTTAGAATAAGTGTTTAAAGATAACAAACACACATAACAATCAGCAGAATGTCTCTTATCTTTCTTATGCTGAAAAGATAGAGGTAAATGTGATGCTTGTCTATAAAATTATGACGTATTGTGATCCAATCTTATACGGACATGAGTCGCAGTGTAAGCTAGACTAAACTAGTTTATGATAAATGTTCTGTTATAAAATTCGGAGTAAATCCAATGTCAGTGAACTTCACAGGAAAGAGGGGAAAAGACAGGACAAAAGAAAAAATAAGGTGAGAATGAGTTAGGTGGAGCTTAGGTGGTGATGTAATAAGCATTTTAGTGTTAATATTAAACTAAGCTGACTGCTGCAAAAGAACATCCCCAAGTCAATCAGGAGAGGCATTATTAGCTATTGTCATCAGGCCTCCTCAATCAATGGCTGCCTCTGATTCCAGGTTTCCTCTTTATCTGTCTCTCACTTTTCGTCTACGTCCAGATACTATCATGTTCTTGACTATGTTACTATGTTTATGTTCTTTTGGTTGATTGTATGTTATTGTGGATTTTTTTTTTTTTTTTTTTTAAAGCTATATAATGTTTATTGACTTGTTATACTAAAATAATTTGAGGGAAATGGAGCAAATGAAGAAAAACTTTAAAGTTGAAACTTCTGTATTTGGTTGTTGAAAAGAAGCTTAATTTTATTTACTTGGGCGATCCATTTTAGTAATTCAATTACAAAATTTGAATGAATTCTTTTTTATTTTATAGCCAAATCATCCGAGTTTTTTTTATTGAATTTTTGTTTGGGATAATCAAGTAGGTCTTCATATTCCGTGGAAAGTCATGGAATTGGGTCAATTGATCCTTGTTGTACGGAGATCATCGTGGTTCGTCATGGCGAAACTGATTGGAATGTTATTGGCAAAATGCAGGTTTGACTCAATTTCTTCAATATTTTTTTAAAATTAATATACATATATATTTTTAAAGTACTAGTAGGCTTGTGTTTTTATTTCAAATCTTATAAGGAAATCAGAGGGATTTGGTTTATTGAAAGGGAATTGAATAATTACACTCTTGCTCGCCTTCATATCCCGTCAAGTCCCCTTCTGCTTCTCCAAACATATTGCTAATCCGGAGTATTATTTTTATTCTACACATTGATATTTGTATGATTAGGTCAATGAAATAATCACTGATAGTCTTCTCTGCTGTCACGAATGAACATTGTAAGAAATTCGCTAAATTAGTTTATGTAAACGTGTTGAGCTAGACAGACAGCTAGTGATTGTGTAAATAGAGGACTAGAAATTCGACAATTTAGTGTAAGAACAGCGCGTGTAATGAAAATGAGAGAAAAGAGACGTTACTGTGTATTGCTCGTATATAATTTTAGTGTCATCTCAGCTAAATTATTATGGGGGATATACATTAAAAAAAAAAAAAAAGGTACATGTCATAAATCATTTTGCGACTTTTGTTATTATGAAGCATTTGCGGTTTCATGACTGTTTCTATGTCTATTATCTCCTTCATTACTATTTTACCAGGGGCAGTTGGATGTTGAATTGAATGAGATTGGGAGGCAGCAAGCAGTTGCAGTAAGTTGAGGATAATCTTTGCTGGTTGTGTACCTTGCTTTGCCGAAGTGCCTCACCTAATCCTGATTTATGTTAGGTTGCTGAGAGACTATCAAAGGAGCCTAATATATCTGCTATTTATTCTTCTGATCTGAAAAGGGCACTTGTGACTGCAGAGGCGATAGCATCAAGATGTGGTGGGCTTGAGGTCAGTTATTGACCTTAATACTTTACATACTTTTAATGTAGAAAGAATGTGGGGAACTTATTTACAGTGCACTTAGGCTGTTAGGCATGCTTTCTTGCTGCGCAAGTTTAACAGATGTGGCATGTGGGATTTCTTTATTATTAGTGAGGAAGACAGCTGATGAGTCTATTAATTCAACTTAATTATGGTGTAAGATTTATAAGTTTGAATTAGGTTTATGTTAGTTGAACCTTCTCTGAGTTTCACTACTTGTATAATTAGATGTCTGTCATTGTGTAGTTTGATCTTTGATGCAGGAAGGGTATCAAATATCAAGTAATGTAATGCTTTATACTAGTATATTATATAATTTTGGCAATGTATGAACTACAGGTTATAAGAAAGAAAGGCCTGAGGGAAAGGCATGTAGGAGATCTGCAAGGACATGTTTATCAAGACATAGCGAAGCTTAACCCTAAAGCTTATGAAGCATTTAAGTCTCACAGATCAGATCAAGAAATTCCGGTGTGTTTCATTTGATAGTTTAGTGCACTTTATTAGTTTATGATGACTAGCAATTCAATATTAAGGAGTGTGCAGCTAATACCTACTATTCATATCAACTGCTTTTGTGTATTTGCTTTTACTTTAGACGCTTTGGAGGTGCATTTGATATGGAACACCATTTTGAGATACAAAATTACTAAATCTCCTTTCATATCAGTACACAATGCCGCTTTTCAAACTGCTTATTACCAGATATTGCAAAACCCTAGTATACATGTAAAAGATACTACAGCATAAGTCTGTTTTTTCTTCCTAATCCCTTTTAAGGTTTGTCTGAAAATGTCTCTTTTGAATCAGCATCTTGATGTTCATCTTTTAGACGAGGGATGACAAATTGCTTGCCCGATACATATTGTATTATTTTGAAAGTTTCATAGTATGTAACATGCTTCATTGAGTGGCTGCCAAAACTTGAATTATAGCTCTTTTGATATACAAGCTAAATATTCTATGATTTTTCAAAATCACTGTGTGTCTGTGCAGGGTGGTGGTGAAAGTCGTGATCAGCTTTATAATCGCTGTACGTCTTTGGTGCAGAGAATTGGTGAAAACCATAGAGGTCATCTACATTGCCTGTATTCCATTATTTATACATTCATTGGCTACATATTACAGAAAATAGTTTGGTTTTTAAATACAGACAATTGATAGATGTTGCATTTGTTCTGGTTGCATGTTGTCATTGCAGGGCAACGAGTGATTGTAGTCAGTCATGGGGGTGCCATAAGAACACTATTTAATCGGGCTGCAGCCAAAGGGAAGCATCCAGAAAAAATTTCTAATACATCAATTGGCATAATTCAGCTGTCTGACGGAGACATGTGGTCCATCAAATCATGGAATGATGCCAGTCACCTCAAACAATCTGAATTTCTCGAATCAGCTTTTGGTGGGGATGCTTCTTCTGCCTAGCTAATTATCCAATATTTGTGCTCTGAGCCTCTGATTTCGACATCATATAGTGCAAGAAATGCGTACTAATTTTCATCAAGATATGATTTAGTTTTACCTTGGCAATGTGTGTTACCAGGTATTCTAATTAAAAAATTTCAATTACGCCTGCTATTTTGTATGTGCTCCGAGTTGGTGTACAGTTTCAGTTTGTAACATTTGATAAAAAATACTTTTTTTCATATAATAAAAGTAAATGTTTTTATGATGTGGGAAATTTTATAGAATTTTGAATTTAGTGGAATTCGCAAGGGAAATCAACATCAGAGAATGAAAAAGAACAAAGCAAAACAGAACAAACGAAAAACATCTTCATCCACTTTCATAGTTTTACACAAGTAGGACTATAATAAATATTTTAAGCTGAATGCTAAAGAAGACTACGTATATGAATATATGATATATCCCTGAGTCAACGAGAAGACAGCATGTATGTAGTATGTACCAATAATACATACAGCAGGAAGCTTCAGCTGTTAAACAAATCCTCCTCATTTTATCTGAATCGCATCTCATCCAGGTCTGTCTCTCTCTGAAAAAATTCTTGTCGGCTTTCCTCTTTTGTTTTTTTATTTTTAATTTATTGTTCTTGTTTTTCTTTGATTAGTTGGTGTACAGTTTGTAAAAGGTGACAATGGATTGCTTTAATAAAGGAATTCTAGCTGGAGAAGCAGGGCCGGTTAATGGATCTTGTACAGAGATTATTGTTGTTCGTCATGGTGAAACAGAATGGAATGCTCTTGGGAAAATGCAGGTTAGGCTATTCATCCTGAGAGTTGACAAAATACATACTAGTTGTTCTAGGACCAGAGCTGCTAACTTGGGATATAACCCATAAAGTATTTTTATTATTGTTCAATATGTGAATGTTTGAACTTTTTGCCACTGTTTTGTGTTACATTCCTTTCACAACCAACTAATAAGCTCATATCCTCAATGTCTTTATATCACAAGGTGTTTCTGGGCTATATTGTTTATGTAGCGAGCTCTATTCTTTTCAATAATTTAAGTAGAGCCTGTCTGTTAAATATTTGCTAGAAAATTATAGCATTGCACAAAGGTTGCTCTTGTAAAGAACCTGCAGTAGATGCCTAGATGGTACTCTCATTATACTGCTGAATTCTTGCTTCATTTATATGCAATTATAAGGTTGTTTCTTTTGGTGTGTGTTTGTAAATCGTATCTCTACATCTTTGTTAATGCTCCAGGGACAGACAGATACTGATCTAAATGAGGTTGGGAGACGACAAGCTGTCATGGTAAGTTAGCTATGATATTCTGTACTGGTCTAAGTCATTTTGTTGAGTCCTTGATCAATATAATCCCTTTTTTTTTTTTTTTTTTTTTGGTTGTAGGTTGCTGAGAGACTATCAAGGGATCCAAATATATCCGCTATATATTCATCTGATTTGAAGAGGGCTCTCAAGACAGCAGAAACAATAGCATCTAGATGTGGGCTTGAGGTTTGTAACTAAAACAATACAATTTTATCCCTCTTGACCGATTTACTAAATATTTTTTGTTCTATTCAGTTTATAAAATTAAGAATGTTTCAGCTAAACTTAGTTAGTAAAATAAGATTATGTGGTTATCAAATAAACAAATTGACAACTTTGGTGAGAATGATCAAATATAAACCATGAGTAAAAAAAAAACAAAAAATTAAAGTGACTTTCCTAGTGGCAGGTATAGTGTAAAACCTTTTCTATCAGTTTTAATTAATATGCATGAATTAGTAAATTTGTTAGATCAGAAGTGTACTGATCTGATACGCATACATGGTAATTAGTTGCTCATAAGTTCTACATGGGTCTCAAAATCAGGTTGTTGAGGATAAAGACCTGCGGGAAAGACATATAGGGGATCTTCAAGGACTTACAATAATAGAATCACCCAAGATTAACCCTGTAGCCTTTGAAGCATTGAGGTCTCCTAGAAACGATCAAGAAATTCCGGTGTGTATGATCTCCTACTCTCTTTTTAAACAACTCTAAATGGTCCCCTTCTCCCCTCTTTGCTGACTTGATATGTTAATCTTCTATGTGATTATGGAATAGAATTACAGTATTCATTTGGGTCAAAAGCTCATTTGAAATCAAAGATTTCCTAAAATAAATTTTGAAGATGTAAAGCTTCATCTGCAGGGTGGTGGTGAAAGTCGTGATCAGTTGATAAGAAGATGCACATCTTCAATGCAAAGAATTGCTGAAAAACACAGAGGTAATGTTTATGGAAGCAGCAATTAGTTACTAATTTTGTATCTAAGGCCAAAAAAAATCAACCAATGAAGTAACTTTTATTTTTTCTGGCTGATTTTTTACATCTCAGGAGCACGAGTAGTTGTTGTAACTCATGGGGCTGTCATAGATAAGCTATACAAGCGAGCTATACCTGGAGGAACTGCTGGAAGGTTATGGAATACATCTATAAATATATTTCAGTTGTCTGAAGGAGACAAATGGTCAATCAAATTATGGAATGATAAGAGTCATCTGAGAGAAACTGAATATCTGGAATCGGCTTCAGGTGGAGGTGATGCTTCAGGCTAGCTAGCTATTGCTTGAATTTCTGGCACTTAATTATTAACTCATGAAGAGACTTGCTGTATCAAGGAAGATTTGCAGTATTTTACTGTTGTTTTGTTACTTTTTTTTTTTTTTTTTTTGAGCGAAGGATGTAAATCATCAAGTAATAGTTAGGTTACAACCACTTGTTTTGTTGTTTTGTTACTTGCAAACTGTATTAGTTGCAATGTTATTTGACATGAGTGGATTTAATGACTCGAATGAAATATTAATAAAGAGATCCAAAAATGCTGGAAATCTATTTTCTTAATATAAGGGTACTCTTGCATGTCATTATTGAACAGTCCTGACGTTCATTGATTCATTGGTTCATAGTAGCACAGAAAACAGTGTTGATGTTGATGCTGCATCTGCTCATTTGTATATCTTCTGACCATTGTGAAATGTAATCGCAATTTGATTATAATATGTGTATGTATTATGTCCTTTGAGCTGCAAGATTCGTCATCTGGCCTCCTCACTTCCCTTCAGTTTCTTCAACTAATGGCTGCCTCTGGTTCCAGCCTTCCAGGTCTCCAATCTTTCTCTCTCCGTCAGAAATACCATCATGTATCCATTATAATTTGGTTGCTTGACTATATTAATGTGTTTACTTCATAAGTTCTTTGGTTAATTGTATGTTGTTACAGAACTATGTACTGTATACTGCTATTTTAGTTTTACTATGTTTTGGGACTTAAATATGCGGTGTAAGGAAATTTATGGGATATTCGTGGTGAAACTGTATGGAACGCTCTAGGGAAAATGCAGGTGAGCTCTTGGAAAAAATGATTCTTTGTGAAGTATATTAGCAAATATCAGAGTATTACTGAAAACTATTTAACAACTGAAGAAAATTACAATTATAGTTTTGTAAATTCAATACAAACAATGGGAAAAACCGAATAAAATTGGTGTGTTTACTCAAACTTGTAATTCTATTCGATTTAATGATCCAGGGACAGTCAGATATTGATCTGAATGAAGCCAAGAGTTGCAGTTTAGGCTTTGTTATAATGTTCTGATTTAGACATGGTATAGTGCAAGAGATGCGTACTAATATAACTTGATCTCAACATTATTTTTACCTTAGCCATGTGTGTAACCAAGTATTCTAATCAAAAAAATCCTTGCATTGGCACTTTTAAGCCCTAAGAAAAAGTACCATTCAAGTGGAAGAGGAATCAACATCAGAACAGAAGAAAAAATGTTCGTCCACTTTCATAGTTTAATACAAGTAGTACTATAATAACGTTAATTAGTAATTTAAGTAGACTGCTAAAGAAGACTACAGCAGGAAGCTTCAGTTGTTAAACTCTTTGTCATTTCTGCTTTTTTTCTGAACTGCATCTCATTCCAGGTTTCTCTCTGTGGAAAAACTCTTGTCATCTGTCTTCTTTTGTTTTTTTTTTTTTTTAAATCTGTTGTTTTGTATACCTATAATTACTTGGTTTACAGTGTACAGTTTGTAAAAGGTAGGTATCGATGGATTGCGTTAGTAAAGGAGTTATAGCTGGAGAAGCAGGGCCGGTTAATGGACAGAGATTATTTGTTAGAGATATGAGATATCGGAAAATATTGTGTAATATATTTTCCGTAGATATCATTTAAGAGAATAATATATTTAGTATTATCTTATGTTAAGATATTATTTAGAGAATATATCATTAGGATATATGGTATATCTTTTAGGAATATTGTTTCCTATCTTATAGGCGTAGGTTTTGTATAAATACTCTACCTATCGATGAATAATAAACAAGCTATTTATTCTCTCTTCTCTCTAATTTATCATGGTATCAAGAGCAGGTTAAATCTTGGGACCGTTTATAAAAAATTTCCCCCCTACCGGTGGGTTAGAAATTAAACCCATCGGTGGGATGATCCTTTAGCAAAAATTACCAAGTTTTTTTTTTAGTTTATTCCGCTGTGCAAGTTAGTGTTGGTGCAGAGTTTGAGTTGATGACTTGATGTATACATTACATCATGCGTGGCTTTTCTAAGCATTGAGATCAAAATAAAGTTGTTGGTGTGTTTTTGACTCTCAAAGATGAAAAAAAAAAAAAGTTTTCAGCTCTCTTGTGTCGTGAGACAAGATATATTTGGTTCTCTTTGTGCCATGAGACAAGGTTTGTGAGTTGATTCGAGCATGATTTTGCTCCTTTGGATATGAGTGTGGTTTACTCTGACAAACCAATAAAAGATTTGAGCGTGGTTTACTCTGAAAGACCAAGAGATTTGAGTGTGGTTTACTCTGAAAGACCAATAAAAGATTGGAGCTCGGTTTTGCTCGAGAAAAACGAAAAATTGTTATATTTACAGGTTCGAAAAGAAGGGCGTTCCTGTTTGATGGATGACAGATGAGTTCGAAAAGATGAACGTTCTCATCATTGAAAAAGAAGAAAAAATTGAAGGAGACATCACAAGAGTGTGCATCTCGGCTTCAACAAATTGAAGAATTTCCAATCGCAACGTTCGTATTACTGCCGTTACGATTGCGGGAGGGTGTTAGAGATATGAGATATCGGAAAATATTGTGTAATATATTTTCCGTAGATATCATTTAAGAGAATAATATATTTAGTATTATCTTATGTTAAGATATTATTTAGAGAATATATCATTAGGATATATGGTATATCTTTTAGGAATATTGTTTCCTATCTTATGGGCGTAGGTTTTGTATAAATACTCTACCTATTGATGAATAATAAACAAGCTATTCATTCTCTCTTCTCCCTAATTTGTCATTATTGTTGTTCGCCATGGTTTAACAGATTGGAATGTTCTTGGCAAAAGTCAGGTTAGGCTGTTAACTCTATTCATCTTAAGAGTTGACAAAATAAACATACTATTTTGCATTCATGTTTTGTGTTACATCCCTTAACTTTTTGTGATAAACTGATGACTGACAACAAGTCAACAAGTGAGAGGAACCACTCAAAAACACCATACACAAAATTAAGATTTTAATCATGGTTTAACTAGATGAAGATAATGTTCATTTTTTGCCTTAATAACAAGTATCAGATGATTCAGATCTAATAAGTCTAGATAAGGGAAAATAAGTACCTTTCACAACAAAATATCAGATGAGTTCAAGAGTTATTCAGGTAAAAATTAGCCTAAAAAGGGGGAAAACAACTTATATGCAATACATGATATAATTATTTTACAATCAATTTTCTTAGATATATAAAGTTGGTTAGACCTTTTTTAATGATTTCCTATTCCAGCTTTCATTTGTATTCTCTGTTTCAAAATTTGGTCTGCTCTGTGTATCTACATATGTCTTTGTATCACAAGGGGATTCTGGGCTGTATTGCTTTTCTAGCGAGCTCGGTTTTGTCTTTTTGATAGTATAAGTAGAACCTGTCTGATAAAATTGACTTGAGTCTAGCATTACACAAATTATGCTCCTGTAAAGAACCTGCAGCAGATGCCTATATGGCACTCTCATTTATATTTTATGCTGCTAAATTCTTGCTTCATCTATATGCAATAATAAAGGTTGTTTCAAGTATATATTCTTATTGGTGTCTGTTAATTACTCAAATTTCTACTTCTTTGTTAATGATCCAGGGACAGACGGACATTGAGCTGAATGAAGTTGGGAGAAAACAAGCCGTCAGAGTAAGTTATGATATTATGCACTGATCTAGGTTCTCTTGTTCAGTCCTTGAATATAATCCTCCCTTCTCTCTCTCTTTTTTTTTTTAAGGTTGCTGAGAGACTATCAAGGGAGCCTAATATATCCGCTATATATTCATCTGATTTGAAGAGGGCTCTCAAGACAGCGGAAGCAATAGCATCTAGATGTGGGCTTGAGGTTTGTTACTTGTCAATCAAAATAATACAACTTTATCCTTCTTTGGGTATAACAAGGGGAACTAATATTGGGGCTTGAATTTGATGAGATGAACTAGAATTTCAGTTAAGTATGTGGTAAAGTCTTGGATTCAAAAACCAATAGTTACATTAAAAAAAGGAAAAATACTGAAGTGACTTTCCTTACTGACAGGTATAGTGTAAATCTTTGATAACAGTTTAAACATGCTTGTATTAGATTAATTTGTTGTACCAGAAGTGTGCAGTGTACTGATATGATATGTTTATATGGTAATTAGCTGCTCATAAGTTTTATATGGGTCTCAAAATCAGGTTGTTACAGATAAAGACCTGCGGGAAAGACATGTAGGGGATCTTCAAGGACTTGCATTTAGCAAATCACCCAAGGTTAACCCTATAGCCTTTGAAGCATTAAAGTCAGCTGGAAATGATCAAAAAATTCCGGTGTGTATGGTTTCTTTTTTTGAAAAAAGTCTGAATGCATGATTTCCTTTCTTTGCTGACTTGATGTGTTCATCTGCTATGGGACTATGAAATAGAATTACAGTATTAATTTGGGTCAAAAGCTCATTTGACATTGAAGATTTTCTGAACATTGAAAATACATATCATCATCTGCAGGGTGGTGGTGAAAGTCGAGATCAGTTGAATAACAGATACAAATCTTCGTTGCAAAGAATTGCTGAAAAACACCGAGGTAATGTTTAGAAAAGTAGCTTTCAGCTCTTTTGTATCAAGGGATAAAAAATTCCAATGAAGTAATAACCTTTTTTCTTCTGGATGAATGATGACATTACAGGAGCGCGAGTAGTTGTAGTAACTCATTATACAGTCATAAAAAATATGTACAAGCTAGCTATACCTGGAGAATCTGTTAGTGGGATACGGAATGCATCCATAAGTATATTTCAATTTTCTGAAGGAGACCAGTGGTCAATCAAATTATGGAATGATCAGAGTCATCTGAAAGAACTAGGATATTATCCAGATGGAGGCGATGCTTCAAGCTAGCTAGCTTATGCTTGATTTCCTGGTACACGATTATTAACTCGTGATGAGACTTGCTGTATCAAGGAGGATTTCTGTACTTCTTTGTTGTTGTTTGCAAACTCTAATAGTTGCATTGATATTTGGCATGAGTGGAGCTAAACATTTTTAATAAAGAGATTCAAATGCTGGATATTTATCTAATTTAAGGGTACTCTTGCATATCAGCTGTAGGTCTTTTGACGATTATGAAATGCAGTCACAAACTCGCAATTTGATATCAGTCTATCACATGTAGTGTGCAAGACATGGGTGAAAGTATTTGTAGGAATTGCTTACTCCTGATTCTTGATTTAGATTATTCCTCGATTGCGATAACAAACTGTTAGAAAAAGTACGTAGTAATTATAGACGCACATAACAATCAGCTGATTGTTTCTTACACTGAAAAATCAGACATGAGTGGCAACTTAGGCCAATTTGTTCATGTGTACAGCAGTTGGACTCATTAGGTACTAGTTCAGAGGTAATTAAGGTGTGAATATGTTACGTGGAACTTAATTAGCTAGTCTTTAAAAAACTAATAGACGCGTTAATGTTAAACTGAGCTGAGTTGTTAACATCCCCAAGTTGGCAAGTCAACCAGGAAAGGCGTACGTGTTAACATCTAATAGCTAGACATGCTAAATTAGGTTGTCTTTAATAAACTAATAGACATGTTCTCATAATAACATCCCCAAGTCAACCAGGAAAGGCATTATATAGCTAACAGAGATCTGCATCATATAGCTAATAGACATGTTATTGAGTAATTTTGTGCTGTTTATTGTATTTCAAGTTATACAATGTTTAGGGACTTGATATAAGAAATTCTTAGGGAAATGGAGCAAATATAAGAAAATTTGAAACTTCTGTGATTTGGTTGTTGAAAAGAAGCTTAATCATTTTTGTTTGGGGTGTTCCACTTGTAAAGGGTGACAATGGAAGGTGTTCCACTTCCAACTAATGAGTCTTGTACCGAGTTTATCCTTGTTCGTCATGGTGAAACTGTATGGAATGCTATTGGAAAAATGCAGGTGAGGTCTTATCTAAATTTTATATTCCTTTAAGTGAAAAAAAAAATGTTCATTAAGAAGGTACATAGAAAATTATTACTCGGTACTCAGACTTGTAATTCTATCTGATATAATGATCCAGGGCCAGTCAGATATTGACTTGAATGAGGCCGGGAGACAGCAAGCTGTTGCAGTAAGTTTTGTAGTTATGTTCTGTATTATTGGTCTGTTTGTGTTCGATTACTTCCTCGCTCACATAATTCTAATCATCTTTGTTGAAGGTTGCTAAACGCCTTTCAAAGGAATCTAACATCTCATGTATATACTCATCTGGTCTGAAGAGAGCACTAGAAACAGCTGAAACTATAGCAGGCAAATGTGGTGGGCTTGAGGTGAGTCTTTTGAGTAGGCCTCTCTTTGAACTTAATCAGTTTCACTGTTTGTTTTCAGTTCTTGATTTTAGGATTGAAAACTCTGTATGCCAACGATTATCAATAGTTGACAGTAAAAATCAGTAATTCAATGAGAATAAACTTAATTGCTTCCTGCTTGTATCTTACTCCGTCTCAGGTTATATGTGATCAAGACCTGCGGGAAAGACATTTAGGGGAGCTTCAGGGAGTTGTTTATGATGAATGAATATCCAAGATTTAACCCGAGGCTCATGAAGCTCTCTTGTCTGGTGAAGAAATTCTGGTGTGTATCATTTCTTTATCAATAGAAATTATCTAAACAATCATAAAATTATTGGATCTCTGCTGGTATAAATTAAGTTGATTAATCGATCTTGTGTGGAGCAATGGAGTAGCATAACATATGTATCGCGTATAGTTGTAAAATTAAGTAGCAGACTGATATGTGATATCCAAACTAAAGACTATATAGTCTGTAATTATATCTATCTAAGCTTTTGAACTTGAACATATATAGGGTGGAGGTGAAAGTCATGATCAACTGTACATGAGAAGCATAGCTTCACTGCAAAGAATTGCCGAGAAACATAGAGGTATAGTTCCAAGTAAACTGTGTTGTAAACTTGTAGTTATGATATTGGAAAAACTAGCTAAGCAGCTAATATGTTGACACTGCAGGAGCACGAGTGATTGTAGTAACACACGGAGAAGTTGTAAGAATCCTGTATAGGAGAATTTTACCTTTTGAAGGCCTTCCTAGAATATCGAACACATCTGTAAGTGTTCTTCAGTTATCTGAAGGAGAGGTTTGGTCCTTCAAAACATGGAATGATGACAGTCATCTCAGAGAAGCAGATTATCTAGAATCAGCATTTGGTGGAGAAGTGCGAGAAATTAAACATAAGCTGTGAATTTTTTAATTTTATTGTTTTTAAATGAATTGTTTCATTTGAATAATTATGGTAAACTGGAAGAATTTGGGTTGTTAAAACATATATTTTGAAGAAAAAAAATTGGATTACTTCATTTCTGTTCAATCTATGTGTCCTAGTTTTCCAATCTGTGATATGGTTTGAATTTCAGGAAGCTTAAGTTAGCTGTGAATTTGAGATAGTTGCAATGAGTGGAGTTAATGACTCGAATGATATTAATACAGAAATCCAAATGCTGGAAATTTATCTACTTAAATTAAGGATTCTATTGCATGTCAATTATGGGAACAGCCACAGCATACATTGATTCATAGGTTCATAGTAGCAGAAAACAGTACTGATGCTGTTTAGCTGTATTTCTTCCTATGACTGTGAAATGCAGTCGCAATTTAAAATCACATGTAATGTGCAAGACATGGGGGATAATATTTCTAGGACTTGCTTACTCCTGAGTCCTGATTCGTGATTTAGATTATACCTCGATTACATGTATAATTACCAATTTCTTTAATTGGAAACTCTGCACTGAAGCCTAGTGAAAGGCAAGGGTAGGTGTTATATATCAATATATGTATTATGGAGTATGTCCTTTTGAGTTAGACACAAGTTGTAAGCCGTAGCTATAGCCTATAGATTGATGTAAGGACCCTTTCTGAATACGGAGTATTTGATAAGCTGAATGTTAGAAAAAATATTTATAGACACACTCACACACATAACAATCAGCTAAATGTTTCTTACACTGAAAAATCAGAGGTAAATGAGATGCATGTCTATAAAATTAGGCACTAGTTCAGAGGTAATTTGGGTTCAGTGGATATGTGAATTTTCATTTAGATTTCTTTTTTTTTTTTTTTTTTTTTTTTTTTTTTTTTGAAAAAACCCCAAAGGGTTTCATTTAGATTTCTAGACTAAACTAATTTGGTATAAATCTTCAGTTACCAAGTCTAGACAAAAGATAAAATAAGGTGTGAGTGCATTAGGTGGAGCTTAGGTAGTCATTTATAATTAATAGACATGTTAATGTTAAACTAAGCTGACTGCTGCAAAAGGACATCCCTAAGTCAACCAGGAAAGGCATCATATAGCTAACGAGAGCTGCAAGATTCGTCATCCGGCATCCTCCTCACTTCCCTGCATCTTCTATAACCAAATGGCTGCCTCTGATTCCAGGTCTCCTCTTTCTCTGTCTCTCTGTTGTGTTTTTTATTTATTTTTTGGTCTTGTATCCAGTATAATCTGGTTGCTTGACTATATTAGTGTATTGTAGTTCTTTTATGTTATTGCGAAAATTTTATATTTTATGTTGTCTTTTAAGCTATACAATAATGTTTTGAGACTTAATACTTCGTATAAGAAAATTTGAGGGAAATAGAGCAAATAGATGAAAATCTAAAACTTCTGTGATTTGGTTATTATAGAGAATCTAAATTATTTCTATTTGGTTGTACCATTTGTAAAGGGTGACAATGAAATGCGTTCCAACTAATGAATCTTGTACCGAATTTATCCTTGTTCGTCATGGTGAAACTGTATGGAATGCTATTGGAAAAATGCAGGTGAGGACTAGTCTAAATTGCATATCCACTTTAACTGTATGAAAAAACAAAAAAATGTTCATTAAGAAAGTATATTATCAAATTATTACTCAGTACTGAGACTTGTAATTCTATTTGATTTAATGATCCAGGGGCAGTCAGATATTGACTTGAATGAGGCTGGGAGACAGCAGGCTGTTGCAGTAAGTTTATTTGTAGTGATGCTCTGCGTATTTGGTCTATTTGTGTTCGATTATTCCTCAATCACATAATTCTAATCGTCTTTGTTGAAGGTTGCTAAACGCCTTTCAAGGGAACCTAATATCTCAGTTGTATACTCATCTGATCTGATGAGGGCACTAGAGACAGCTGAAACTATAGCAGCCGAATGTGGTGGGCTTGAGGTGAGCTTTTTGAGTAGAGCCTCTCTATGGACTTAAATCAGTATTACTGTTTGTTTTCAGTTCTTGATTTTAGGATGTAAACTCTGTATGCTAACTCAACATGAAAATGGTACATGTGAATGTAACAGTATACTAAGTGTATACTGGAATCTCAAGTTAAACCGCTAATTCAAGCAATTTCAATGGTGAACCGCCATTGATGAACTGAGAGATGTACAGTGGTTTTCAGAAGGAACGAGAGAGAAAGCTCTTTGTGATTTTATTTCCCAAAAATTGAATGAATGAGTTTTTACATTTATTACAAGTATTTATACTATGTAAAAAGAAAAGAGATATTAAAAATATCTCAACTAACTCTGGCTGACTTATTAACTATGCTGACTCAGCATTCTAATATCCTCCTATTACAATACTTCCCCCCTTTAAAATAACTTGTCCTCAAGTTGACACATCAAAAGAAGGAAAACGCTTCTCAAAATCTTCAGCAAATTCCCAAGTAGCTTCAGTAGCAGGACAATCCTTCCAGTCAATCAAGTATTGAACAGCTGCATGATTATGGTGTTTCACTGTTCTTCTGTCTAAAATAGCTTCTGGCTCCCATTCTTCACTTGCATCTTTCCCATGTAGCCAACTAGGAATATGAGTTATAGTGGGCAAAACACCCCTAAACTTTTTCAGTTGAGAAACATGAAAAACAGGGTGAATCTGAGCATCCTGAGGCAATTTCAACTTGTAAGCAACACTGCCTACAGTTTCCAAGACTTGAAAAGGCCCATAAAATCTGGAAGACAGCTTCTCATTAGTATGTCCCTTAATAGAACTCTGCCTGTAAGCCTGAAGTTTCAACCACACCCAACCTCCAACTGTGAAATTTCTGTCACTTCTATTTTTGTCTGCTTGAGCCTTCATTCTGTCTTGAGCCCTCCTGAGATGGAACTTTACTCTCTGAATCATCTCTTCCCTCTTCTGCAGAGATCTGTCAACTGCATCCACTTTTGATTCTCCTGGAAAATAAGGGAGGTGAAGTGGTGGTGACTGACAGTAGACAACTTCATAAGGTGTAGCTTGTGCTGAAGTATGAAATGTTGTGTTATACCACCATTCAGCTAAGGCCAGCCACCTGCACCAGTGCTTAGGACACTCACTAGTCATACATCTGAGATATGTCTCTAGGCACCTATTAACTCTCTCAGTTTGCCCATCAGTTTGAGGATGGTAAGCTGAAGAAAGTAGCAACTCAGTGCCTTGCAACTCAAATAAAGCTTTCCAGAAATTACTTAGGAAAACAGCATCTCTGTCACTAACAATAGATCTTGGCCAACCATGCAATTTAAAAACATGGTCCAAATAATTCTGAGCTACATCAATAGCTGTGTAGGGATGAGCCATTGCTATAAAATGGGCATACTTGCTAAACCTGTCCACCACCACAAAAATAACTGTCTTGCCATTGGAGGTTGGTAACCCACTAATAAAATCCATAGAAACATCAGTCCATACCTAAGAAGGAATTGGTAATGGCTGGAGCAAACCAGGACTAGCCACATTTTCAGATTTACTAGCTTGACATACCAAGCAATTTCTCACAAAGTTTGACACATATGCAGTCATGCCCTTCCAATAAAACATGCCCTTGACTCTTACTAGGGTAGCATCTTTTCCAGAGTGACCACTTTGCCCAGAAGAATGTAACCAGCTCAAAATGGCTGCCTTCAAATCATCATCTGGCCCTACCACCAATTTGCCTTTTCTTCTAAGCAACCCACAGTCACAGCATAATGAATAACAGACTGACCAAGTTGAACATCTCTAAAAATCCTTGCAGTGTTCACATCTAGCTCATAACTGTCTTTAAGTTTCTGAGATAAATTTGAGTCTAAGACAGTCAAGGCTAATAAAAGAATCTCAGATCCAGATACTCTAGACAATGCATCTGCCACAACATTTTCACTGCCACTTCTGTACACATTCTCATAATTAAATCCCATTAACTTGGATAACCAAAGTTGCTGGAATGGGGTGGAGATTTTTTGTTGAAGCAACCACTTAAGACTCTTCTGATCAATCTTGATAATGAACTGATGACCAGTCAAGTATTGTTCCCATTTTTGAACTGCAGTAACCACAGCCAAAAGTTCTTTCTCATATACTGACAGTTTCTGCCATCTGGGTCCCAAAGCTTTACTTAAAAATGCCAAAGGATGACCATCTTGCATAAGAACAGCACCAATACCCACATTTGAGGCATCAGTCTCAACTTCAAAGGGTTTTGAGAAGTCTGGCAAAGCAAGTACAGGAGCAGTACTTAAAGCAGTCTTTAATGTCTCAAAAGCCACTTGTGCCTCACTAGTCCATTTGAACTCACCCTTTTTCAACAACTGAGTTAAAGGTTTACAAATGTACCCATATCCTTTAACAAACTTTCTGTAATATCCTGCCAAACCAAGGAAACTCCTTAACTCCTTCACATTCTTAGGGATAGGCCACTTGACAACTGATTCAACCTTCTTTGGATCAGTTTCTACACCTTTACCAGAGATAAAGTGGCCCAAATACTCAACTTTGTCAATCCCAAAAGAACACTTACTCTTCTTAGCATATAAAGTATTCTGCCTCATTAAGTCAAAGACAGATCTCAAATGCTGTAAATGCTCTTGCACTGTACTGCTGTAGATCAATATGTCATCAAAAAAGACTAACACACATTTCCTAAGCAATGGCCTGAAAATATGGTTCATCCAGCTCTGGAATGAAGCTGGAGCATTAGTGAGGCCAAAAGGCATCACTAAAAACTCATAATGCCCATTGTGAGTCTTAAATGCAGTTTTAAACACATCCTCATCATGCATCCTTAATTGATGATACCCAGCTCTCAAGTCAATTTTACTAAAAATCCAAGAACCAGCTAACTCATCTATCAATTCATCCACCACTGGAATGGGAAATTTGTCTTTGATTGTCTTTTTATTTAACTCCCTGTAATCTACACAGAGTCTCCAAGACCCATCTTTCTTACCTACCAATACCACTGGAGAAGCAAAAGGGCTACAGCTGTCCCTAATTATACCCTGCTCCAACATTTCCTTAACTAGCTTCTCAATAGTATCCCTTTGTGACAAAGGATACCTGTAAGGTCTGATACTCACTGGATCAGCTCCAAATTCCAAGGGTATCCTGTGGTCAAAAACACCTCTATGTGGAGGTAAAACCTTTGGCTATTCAAATATAGCCTTAAACTCTTCTAACAGATTGTTCATACTGCTAGGTATCTCTGTCACTTCTGTCTTCAGACAAAACAGGTCAATATCTGAATTATCAGGTATCAACTGTAAAAAATACAGCTGACTAGGCTGATTAAAAACCTTGTCAACCTTCTGACCAACAGTTGCCACAGCTTTCTTAGATTTCTCACCCAGCAACACATATTGCCTTCCCAGAAATTCAAATTTCATGACTAATTTCTTAAAGTCCTAACACACTGTCCCAAGCATACTGAGCCACTGAATACCCAGGACCATATCACAACTCCCCAAGGAAAGAAGTAACACATCAGAAACAAATTCATTGCCCTGTATAGACCACTTGAATCCCTTACACACATTCTGGCAAGCTAAGTGGTTACCATCAGCAACAGTTACTGCTTGAGGAGAAATACTATCAATCTTACACCCTAACCTCCTAGCAACATCAATATCTAAGAAATTATGGGTGCTACCAGAGTCAATCAAAACATGTAGAGGACTTTTACCACAAACACCAGTCACTCTCATAATCTGAAAACTAGGATTCCCACACAAAGCATGGACAGAAATCTGAGGGTCAATGCTTTCCATTGTAGAATCCAGATCTTGCACAGATTCTACCATCCCTTCTTCCTCACATTCATCTTCCCCAGGTATTTCCACTATAAACAATTGAGTTTGCTTAAGTGGACACTTATGATTTCTTTCATAAGGTTGGTCACAGAAATAACACAACCCTTTAAGTTGTTTTTCCCTTCTCTCAGCAGCAGTAAGGGTAATCTGAGGTTTATGTAAGGGCTTGGAAGACTGAAAAGGCACCAAAGCACCAGAGTTTGTAGTACTAGGCTCTAAACTAGAACTAGAAATTGTATTCTTAGCACCATAAGTAGTATAGGATTCACCCATATTCTTGGATGCTTCTAAACTTTCTTCTTGTAACCTAGCAAACTCAACAGCATCTGCTAGAGTCTGAGGCTTAAAAGCCTTAACAAAGGGCTTAACAGCAGGCTTCAATCCCCCAATAAAACTAGCAAGGAAATATGAATCCGTTAACCCATGGTTTTGTTGTAACATCAAAGATTTAAGTTCCTCAAAGTCATCAACATACTATACGACTCAATTGAACCCACCTGATGCAACTTATTAAAATTCTCTACTGCATTATCAGATTTAGAGTCCTTAAATCTAGCAGCTAAATCAACAATAAAATCTGTCCAATCAACAATACTTCTACTAGCCAAATAACTAGAAAACCCACACCTCAGCTTTATCAATCATATTCAAACTAGCAAGATCAACCTTCTGTTCATCATTAATCTTGCACAGCTTAAAATACTTGTTGCATTTCTTAATCCACAGTCTACAATTATGGCCGTCAAATTTAGGAAACTTGAGTTTAGGAACATACCCAAGAGTCCTGGTTGAATTGGACCCTAGTTCAGGCGTTTTTGGGGTTGAAACTGGAGTATTTGGGGAAACTTCATCCAATTTCGCGCTCAAATCTTGCATCATTTTCAGCACCCGATCTTGAAAAACAGAGCTAACTTTCTGCTGCTCTCCCAAACGCAACTCAAGATCCTTCACCTGTTGCTCGACAGATACCATTCTTTTCACAGAAATTGGTGCCAGGATTACTCCAAGAATCTTCAAGAAACAAGAATATCAACGAAAAATCGAAGAAAATCGAATTCAATCGATCTGGGTTTTTCAATCGAACAGGGTATTTTCAAGAATTCCGAATTCTTGAAATGGGTTTGCTCTGATACCAATGTAACAGTATACTAAGTGTATACTGGAATCTCAAGTTAAACCGCTAATTCAAGCAATTTCAATGGTGAACAGCCATTGATGAACTGAGAGATGTACAGAGGTTTTCAGAAGGAACGAGAGAGAAAGCTCTTTGTGATTTTATTTCCCAAAAATTGAATGAATGAGTTTTTACATTTATTACAAGTATTTATACTATGTAAAAAGAAAAGAGATATTAAAAATATCTCAACTAACTCTGGCTGACTTATTAACTATGCTGACTCAGCATTCTAATATCCTCCTATTACAGTGAATCAGCAAAAAATATTTTGATCAGTAAAATTCAATTTGAATTTCCAAAATTTAGTTATGATTAGTAAAGGTCAAACTAAATGAGTTTTGAAAATAAAATACTTTGTAAAAATCTGTTGAAATTGATAGGACCTAAGAAATGTAGGTTTTTACCTTACTAAGGTCTAGTTTGATGAGAATGATCTAGTACCACTTGCAGTATAAAAAACCAAACATAATTGCTTCCTGCTTGTATGTTACTCCCTTTCAGGTTAATCGTGATGAAGACCTGAGGGAAAGACATATAGGGGAGCTTCAGGGAGTTGTTTATGATGAATCAATATCCAAGATTTACCCCAAGGCTTTTGCAGCTCTCATATCAGGTGAAGAAGTTCCGGTGTGTATCATTTCTTTTATCTTTAGAAATTATCTACTTTATCATAAAATCACTTATAGCTGTAAATTTAAGCAGCAGCATTCATCTCTGGTTGAACTCTGTTGAGTTTAGACTGACATGTGACATCCAAATTATATGGTCTATATTTATATCTATCTAAGCTTTTGAACTACATCTACAGGGTGGAGGTGAAAGTCGAGATCAACTGCACATAAGAAGCATAGCTTCACTGCAAAGAATTGCTCAAAAACATAGAGGTTGGGCTTTAATAAGTTGTGCTTGTAGTTAATATTTGCAAAACAAGCAGCTATATAATACGAAATACTCCATACTTAGTTTTGTACTAACACATGAATTATTTTCTCTGTTTGTATATGTTGACACTGCAGGAGCGCGAGTGATTGTAGTAACACACGGAGAAGTTATAAGAAATTTGTATAGGAGACTTGTACCTTTTGAAGGTCATCCTGGAGACGTATCCAACACATAAATAAGTGTACTTGAGTTGTCCAAAAGAGATGTTTGGTCCTTCAACAGTCATCTCAGAGAAACAGAATATCTAGAATCAGCACTTGGTGGAGGAGGTTTGTTGTGCTAGCTCACACCTCAATACCTTAGACTTAATTGCTTATGGCTTCATGATATTTTTGTAACAAGTGCAACTGAATGTTACACTGTTACATAAGCTGTGAATTTTTTAATTTTATTTTTCATAAATAAATTGTTACATGTGAGTAATTATGATAAACTGGAAGAATTTGTATTGTTAAAAACTTAAAATTTGAAGGGAAAAAAAATACTTAATTTCTGTTCATTCTTCCCTAGCTTTCCATTCTGTGATATGGTTCGAATTTCAGGAAGCTTAAATCAGCTGTGAATCTGTATTATGACTGTTAAAAAGATTAACAGAACTATGAAAAAGTATATCTGGTAACATAAACCAGAATGAAACATTGGTATGGTGTTTAATAAAAGCCATTAAACACCAAAACTAGTCTATTAAAAACCATTCTAAATAAACGCCAAACTAATTAAATTACACACTTAGCAAAGTGATTTCTTATTTCTTGGGTCTATGATAGATTACACAGCTTCATATGTTGATCTTCACCCATTCTGCAAAATATTTTAAACCCTTGTTATGATATGAGGTGAAAAGTAGTTTAAAACTTGTAAAATAGTATGGGCAATATAATATAAAATACTGTAACAAATAGAAAAATAAAAATTGTAGAATAATCGATATATTAATGGTTAAAAATGTAACCATTACTTCGAAAAGAAGACTAGAAGAGAGTGAAGGATAGCTCAAGTATGTGGTTAGAGTGAAGGTTATTTCGAAAAGAAACAATGAGAGAGTAGTCAATACAGTTCCCTACAGTCTTTCTTTATATTATGCGATAAAGAGAGTATGTCTTATCCCTTAATGGTCATGCCAACCAATAAATGATACGTGCATTATAAAAATAATTTTTTTAAAAAAATGCATGAAGACCAATTATATGAATTAATATGTTAATCTTAATCACATACCTGCTTGTAGTACATCTGATGATATTGCCTCTGCCTTTGCAATGAAGCATTAGGCAGCATAGGCATCGACTGCAAGGGCATAGACATAGTTAAACCAGCACCGTATGATGATGTCGCCCCGAAGTTATCAACAAATCCTCGCCCTTGATCATAGTACACAGGTACAACCCCGGGCATTGAGTTCATATTATACATCAAGCTGCTACCTCTGCTGCTGCTACCACCCTGATCATCCATTCTAGTACCACCCATTTGATGACTACTACTACTACCACCACCTTGATTATCGAGATTTGGATAATTAAAAGGCACTAATTGGTGGCAAAATTGTTGATAATTATAATTATTGTTGTTAATAGGATAATTAAATGAGGTCAATTGATTAAACCCTTCAACATAAGGGAACCCAATTTGATGACTAGTGATTGGCGTAGGCTCAAGGTACGGTACCAAAGCCGCGCCCTCATGATTATGAGTATGACTATGATTATGATTATTATTACTCTTAAACAACGAAATCTTTTGCCTAACAAACTCAATCTTCTGATCCAAATGAACAAGCAATTCCATAAGTTGTTCAAGAGTAAGCCCATCAAATCTAGAATCCCAACAAGGGTACTTAACCAATGCATTCTTATGCCTTAGTTTGGACAACTCTTGATCAGCCTTTTTAGTCCATTCATCAAACATGTCAAACAAGTTAAGAGCCCTTTTGTACTTCTCCTCATTAGGAATCCTAACGTACCTATCAATCATCTCTCGAGCAACCATCGGATCGGTTGCTCGAGACAAATCCATAGCATTAGACTCCGTTATCAAGTCCCCTTTAAAAGCATAAACCTCAGCTTCCGAGGATTGCTTCCCTTCTTTGTAAGGGTAGATGATTATGCAAACCGGTACGTTGCATAAAATCGATAACTCGTGTGCTTTCTTAAGCAACCCTTTTTTCCTCTTCCCATAAGTAGCGTTCCTTGTTTTTTCCTTAACAATGAACTCCATTGCTATTTTTGCTCTACCCATGTTATCCAATTAAGTCTTTTTTTTTTTGGCGAAAGAGATGGATGGAAAGAGGTGTTGTAATGAATAATGTAGATGGTAATTATATATAATGAATGAGAATGAAGGTGTGTAAGAATTTAAGTTGGCTCTAGCTAGTACAGTTAATTAAGTTAATTGGAATCTTTTTATACGTAATATACATTTATATGGCAAAAATTAGGAATTAATATTAGATGCACGTATTAACTTCCTTATTTGAGCATAATAGTATCTTCCAAATTAATTCCAATATTTTCCAAATTTTCCAATTTACCATTTTTACATATATATATATCCTAAATGCATGGGTAGGATGTTTCTCATTTTTATTTTTATTTTTCCTTTTTTATTCTTTTATAAGATTTGACAAGGTTATTTTAATCTTATAATATTCTTCTATACAAAAATTCCAAAGCCAAACCAATAAAACCATCAAACCAACTTAATATAAATTGTCAATTTTTTATTTTTATTTTTTTTAATAGACACCCTTGAGCCTTTGAGAGAAGTCATGGCCTACTAAGGCCGAAGGCCCCTTCGAAGCCTAGTCCTTGAAAGAATTATTCTAGATGGCGATCGACGTTAATTCGCACATAACACACTATTATTATCAGTGGCGTATCCAGGAATTTCGAACTGTGGGTTCGGAATTTTAAAAAAATGATGATCATAGATTAACTAAATAATAGTGTGTTAACCCTTTTTTCGCACATAACACACTATTATTAAAAAAATGATGATAGGTTCAATGCTCTAACAATCACTCCCTTACCAATGTGCCAGGCTTTGACATTAGATTATTTATCTCACATAAATTAGTTTTAATCCTTTTTTTTAAAAAAAAAAAATAATTAAAACTTTTAATTTTTTTTCGAAAAATCTGTGGGTTCAATGAACCCCCTTAAATCCGCCCCTGATTATTATCAACACTCGTCCATATACGTAATTAAAAATATAACTCATATTGATAGATCATAGATTAAGCATATGATAAGAAAAATTAAATTACAGATTTGCGAAAATTATTTTGATGGGATAATCAATCTAATCTACAGTTGTTGGAATAATTACAAATAAATGTTACATAATATGTACTGTAATTATGAAAATTGCAATTCAACTTGTGTAAATACAATTCATGTTTATACTTTATAGGCGCAACAAATATCGTTAAAACAGTTGCTGTCTAATAAGCACGTATTAACCCAAACTTGTATGTACTTTTATTAAATGCTCCATCCAAAGGGTAGTTCATTGGATATTGATCTAAACAAGATGAGGAGACAAGAAGTTGTTACAGTAAGTTGATTATATAAAATATTCTTCATATTATTGGTCGGTCCACTTGTATTTAATATTTTAAATTCATCACATAATTATAGTATATAATATATTCCTTATCTTTGATCAGATCATATTATTGTATATATTCAGGTTAGGTTGCTGATCGACTGACCATCAAGGGAACCAAATATACATTCTTCCAATTTGAATAAGATGGGGGGCAGGGCCATGCAGGGGCCGGGCCTTGTTCCTGTTTAAATTTTCTATCCATAATGAGTTAGGAACACATTGCTTTCGTTCAAGGTGGGGGGCAGGGCCATGCAAGGGCCTGTTCTCATACGTTTATTTTCAGTTCAGTTCAGCTCCTAATTTCCTTCTCTTATAAAATATTCAGTTCAATTCAGCTGATTTCAGTCTATTAGAACAGACCCTTAAGTATATATGTATTTTAATTGATTGAGATATATTTTATTGTGGTATCTTTGTGTATATATTACGAGTAGCATATATTGTACTTGTATAAATATATATTTTGATATGGTATAGAATATAGATTATAGTGTCATATCTCATATGCCCCCTTGATCTTAGGCGTGATTATAGGCTTGCGATATAAATATATTGAGATTTTTGTAAATAATAAAGGGAGAGGGCTAAATTCATTAAAGGAAGAATGAAACGAGATGTAGCTAAATTGAAGTAGTACATTACTTTCTTCGCGGTTGATAGAATGCTGATATTGTAAGAGATAGAGCGAGTGGTTGTCGTAGTAATGGGTTGTAATGTAACATACATTATTAACAATAACATATAAGAACGCTGTAGTTGTATATAGGCATATAGTAACAGAGAATGAAGTACAACCTGATAAAATAAGGAACACATCTATAACGAACTAATTACTCACTTGTTGTTTGATGGAGACTTGAATTGTGGTCCATCAAATCATGGAACGATAACACTCAGTCACTGAAACTCGGATACACATTTTCAACAATTGGGTTTTGGTGGAGGAGGTTCCTTAAACATAATGCTAGTGCCTAGCCCACACTTCACTTATTTGGATTGTCGCATTATTATTGTACTGTAATTCTTTCCAAGCTACTTTCTTGATTAAGAATGCTGAAATTTTGAGAGCTTAACTTGTGGGGGCCTGGGGGGCATTTACTCGTTGATTAAGAACTTCAAAAGTTAGAAGTTGTGGGTGGGTTATAACAATTGTTCAAAGAAAGCAATGCATAACCTATTTTGTCATAACTTATTTAAATTATTCATGTATGGTACATTGGTACATTGTGATCAAAATTAATATGAATGGTGGTGGTGGTGATTATAACAGTTTTGTGGTGAAAGTGGTGGTATTAAGGTATGTAAGTAGAGGTGTCAAAACCACGTCCAATCCGACCCGATTTGAAACCGATCAACTCGAAAAATATCCAATTAAGATTTCGACTTACGTGGATACAATAATTTAGTATGACTCAACTTTAAAAAATTGACCCGACCCGACCTCACCAGAACCGATCATCTTAATTGAAACCTTTATATGTAAGTGGACTAGTTGATAACGTAAAAGCACTGCTGATCTGTATATTAGTTCGATGTGATTGATGGTGATATAAAAACAATTTGTGGAAGTGGTTTTGTTAAGAACAAATTAAACCTATCAACTATATATCCTTCATGGACGAAGAAGATGTTGATGCTTAACAATCATGTATTATTGTGGATAAATTTGCTTATAATCAATTGCTTTTAGGATAAGCCTGTATTTGCTAATTTTATAGATTCATTGAAAATTCAAAATTAATGCTAGATTGGAACTTCACATAACTATAGCAATACTAGTTGAGGTGTAGATGATAATGGCATAAGCATTAAGCGTCGTGGGATGAGAGGTAAGATAATTTTTGTTTCTCAAAGGTAAGATCACATTTTTGTTAAGAATACTATTGCTAGAGTTCACTAGATGAAACGAGTAGTATACTTATGAGTTGTGTCAAATACCCCAAGCGACTTGTACAGTTGTACCATAATAAAAACAATTTCAATTAATTGTTTAATAACGACCCTAATTAATAGTAGCATGATTGTTATGTTAGAGAAATTAGTGGATAAGAATTGAGATTGACGACAAACGGAGTTGGTAATTTTGTGTTTAGTTTTTGGCGGGAGTACTGTGTTGCTGACCTATGTTAGGACATGAATGACGTCATAATTAGAATAAAAAATACTGAGAAGAAAAACAGAAGCCAAGGAATATTGAAAAAATGACAAAAGCGCACTATCTTAGTGGGACCCAAAAGCTATAGACAGTTGGTCTAAAGACGCGGGAATTTTACCGGTCTTGTCAATGATCATTTGTTGGTTGAGTTTTCACCTCCGATCATCTCTCTACAACCCCACCAACAATAATACACAAATACTTAAACTATGCTTCGACTCACAAGCCCCTAATTTACAGAGTACTTAGCTATTCTGGTAGGAGAATAGGAGATGATTATCTTGTTAATTGTTTAACTACTCCCTCAATCGAATAATTCGTGTAACATTTAAATTTGCATGATTTTAGTTTTATTTACTTGTATTTTGACATAATATCTATAATTGCATCATAATATAAATTACGAAATGTTCATCATTATATTGTTATTAAAAAAGGGTAATGATACGTGTAGCCTTAGGACTATATATAAATATTAAATATAATGGAATTAAGTTGGGAATTTAATAATTCATAACAAAATCACGCACAGATCGGTGTAACTAATGTTAATCTTTCCTCAATCTTTTCATTTTAAGCCTCTTATACATAGCCCTTATGGCTATGTTTATCATTTTCCATTAAAAAATGAGGTTTTCTTTTTTATTTGCACTATGAGGCAACTGTATATGAAAGTTTTATAAGTATTTAATTTAATTTAATTATTATTATTATTGTTTTTTCTTACATTATAAGTATATTATATGTTACAAAACAAACAAAAAATAAAATAAAATAAAAATAAAAAATAAATAAAAAAAGAAGAAGAAGGATTGAGAAAATATATACAAAGTACGTACTTCGTACATGGTTTACTCTATGAGTAAATGGCATTATTTTGCTTCAACCACTTGTTTTGTTTTTCCTACTAAGTAAACACATCATCAACTTTATCTGGTGTATCTATTGTCCAAATTTTGATTAATTAATAGAAAAGAAAGAAGTAGAAGAAACAACAAGCAAAACAATAAATAATTTACTAAATATATATATGAGGATGGATCATGCTTGTCGGTATAGTTAAATTCGTGGGCCATAATTGATAACCGAAAGGTAAACAGAACTAATAATATAATTCTGGTATAGATTTTGTTTCGAGGCTAGAGGGTTAGCACCACAATACAAATAACGGATTTTTTACCATATACCACTGAGTTAAAACTTCATTCACCATATACCATAAAAAATTTTCTAATACACCATATAACCTTCAGTTTTACGAAAATTTCACAACTTGCCCTTTCCGTTAACTCAGTTAGTCATTAACGTTAATTGTGCCACATGGCAGCTTATAATTGGTTCTTATTAATATTCTTTATTTAATTAACTAACTTTAGAGAAATTATTTTAAAAAAAATTTAAAAAAAAACACCACCAACTTAGCCACCGCCGCCACCAGCCTAGCCCTGACCCTACCCCCAGCTGGCCAGCGATC